ATGCACATGTGCCAAATCAGAAAAGGAGTAAACTTGATGACAAAGGGGAAACTTATATTTTCCTTGGTATTAGTGATCAATCCAAAGCTTACAGATTATACAATCCTTTAACCAAGAAGGTCATCATTAGCTGTGATGTAGTGTTTGATGAAGCAAGCACTTGGTCTTGGACAAAAAAATCTAGGCGACAGATTCCTGCAAATTTCGACAATGGTGAAGATCTGACTGTGTAGAACTTAGGAGGTCAAAATGGAGGTCTAACTTTAGCAGCCCTTGATGCATCAAGAAGGCAAAAGAGGAAAGTCTGCCTGTAGAAGTAAAGCTTGGTACTGGAGAAAGTCTACCAACAACTCCAAAATTGGAATCTGGAACTAGTTTACGACCTCAACACAAAAACATAAGACCAGTATAGTTGGAGGATTATGAGGTAACAAATCTACCTAAAGATGATGTTCCAGTCACTCATTTTACTCTATTTGCAAATTGTGATCCATTGACATATGAAGAGGCCGTTAAAGAAGAAAAGTGGCAAAAAGCCATGGCAGAAGAAATTGGTTCTATTGAAAGGAACTAGACTTGGGAGATGACAAATCTTCCAAAACGGCACAAGATAATTGGTGTTAAGTGGATTTACAAGACAAAGCTCAAAGAGAATGGGGAGGTTGACAAATTCAAAGCTCGCTTAGTGGCAAAGGATTACAAGCAAGAGTTTGGCATTAATTATCAAGAAGTTTTTGCTCCAGTTGAAAGGATGGACACCATCAAATTGGTGATTGCTTTGGCATCACATAACTCATGGTTGATCTACCAGCTTGATGTGAAATCGGCCTTCTTGCATAGAAATCTACAAGAACAGGTATTTATTGATCAACCTCCTGCTTATGTGAAATCTAGTTTTGAGCATAAGGTTTACAGATTGAAGAAAGAATTATATGGACTAAAACAAGCACCTAGAACTTGGTATAGTCAAATTGATGCTTATTTCTTGAAGGAAGGTTTTCAGAAGTGCCCTTATGAGCATACACTTTACATCAAATTTGGAGCTGGAGGTAAATTGATTATAGTATGCTTATATGTTGATGATTTAATTTATACTAGGAATGATTTTGGCATGTTGGGAAAGTTCAAGCAATCCATGAAGCTTGAATTTGATATAACAGATCTGGGTTTGTTACATTATTTTCTTGGTCTAGAAGTAGTATAGTCAAATTCTGGAATTTTTGTTTATTAGAAAAAAAATATGTGCAAGAAGTTCTGGACAGATTTCAAATGAAGAACTGCAATTCTGTCACTACACTAGTTGACAAAGGTGTAAAGCTTGTGAAAGATCTAGGAGGCAGATCTGTGGATAGCAAACTGTATAAGCAATTTGTTGGAAGTCTAATGTATCTGACAACAACAAGACCAAACATAATGCATGGTGTAAGTCTAATTAACAAATATATGGAGCATCCAAAGGAGTTGCACTTGCAGACTGCTAAAAGAATTCTCAGGTATTTATGTGAAACTACAGATTTTGAACTATTCTACAAGAAGGGTGACTAGACAAATCTCGCAGGTTTTACAAATAGTGATTGTGCTGGAGATATGGATGATAGAAAAAGCACTTTTGGGTATGTTTTTATGTTGGGATCTGGGGCAAATTCATGGTCTTCAAAGAAATAGCCCATTGTGACTTTGTCCACAACAGAAGCAGAGTATGTGGCAACTACTTCTTGTGCTTATCAAGCTATTTGGTTGAGAAGAGTTCTAGAAGAACTTGAGCTAAATCAACATTAGGCCACTTCAATTTATTATGATAACAGTTCAGCTATCAAGCTTTCTAGAAATCCAGTTCTGCATGGGAGAAGCAAGCATATACATGTGAGCTATCATTTCTTGTGCAACTTGGTAGAAGATGGAACAATTGAGTTGACTTATTGCAAAACAGAAAATCAAGAAGCTGATATATTCACAAAACCCCTCAAAATAGCAACTTTTTCAAGACTGAGAGAGTTACTTGGTGTTTGCAACATGCGGAATTCAATTTGAGGGAGGGTCTGCAGATTCCAGATTGCAAACATGGTGTTTTCTAGATTTTTTAAACTGAAGTATGAAGACTTTCAGTTTAAGGGAGAGATTGTTGGAAATTAGATCCTAATTCTTAGCCATTATCTCTATAATTTAAGAAGTTTAAGTTATTTATTTGCTTTTCCTATTATTTAGGTTCTTATCATTTAAAATAAACTAGATAAGATTGGTTAGTTATCTTTTTAGATAAAGTTATTTTATAAAGTCTATTTAAAGGCTAGTTGATTTTCATTTTAACGTGAATTTGATTTTCACTACATTTTCTTCTTCTTTGGAATTCATTGGTTTTTAACACTGGAATCCTTCCTTCAATTTGATTTTGACCTAAGTGAAGATCCACAATGCTATTGTTGAAGTTTAACAACCACTGGAATGTCGAAGCAGTCAAATTGTTGCCTTCTAGATCAAGGACAGCTAGAGAAGTAGAAGTATTAATCATTTGGATGGACCAAGAAGCGACATCTAGAAGATTACATTCCCTAAGATAAAGGTTAGTTAGGAGAGGGAGCTTATTAACCACATGCAGCCAATTATTAACATTACTAAGGTTGATTTCGCACAGACTAAGGGATTGTAAAGAAGAAAGGCTAGAGAGTCACTCAAGATTTTTGATGCTATCAAAGTTATTAATGCCAAGATCAAGATACCGCAAACTTGTGAGGTTCCCTAACTGACTAGGAAGAGAACCAATGAAATTACAAAATGAGGGATATAGATATTCTAATTTGTTGAGTCAATCGATAGATTGTGGAATGTGGCTCAAGTTGAAATCATTGAAAGTGAGGTCCAAATAAATTAAATGCTGCAATTCAAATAAAGAAGGGCTAAGGTTACCTCTTAACTTAAAATCATCATTTACATGAAGATCAAGCACGGTCACTTGCCCACTTGTGTTGCTACATTGAACTCCTGTCCATTTGCAACAATCCTTTTTCTCTTCTTCACGGCCCCATGAGGAAAGCCTGCCATCTTCATCAATCAGACTTCGTTTAAAAGTTAGAAGCGCTTGTTTTTCCCTCTCGATGCACCTCACATCATCATCTCCGGTTGTTGAATTTGAATCCAGTGGAAATTTGCATGTGCAGTAAAATCATTAGTGCAAAGAGAAGTTGAAGGGACCGGCCTCCACCCAAAATCATCATTTTGAAAGCCATAAGAATGAAATCAGAGATGAAGAGAGTGCATGTGATTTTGGTACTGCTCGACGAGTTCTAGGGACAATTCTAGTTAACTATTTATATATTAAAAAAGTATTTTATAGGTCTTTTTCTTAAATTTTTTTAAAGGATTTGTTTAAAAATTTACATTTTAATTAATATTTTTAAAAATTAATTATTACATTAAAAATTTTATTGATTTATATATAAATCAAATATGTTAATTTAAAAAAAAAAGGTTTATATAATATGTGCTGAGATTAATGTCAAACTTTGTATTTTTTTATATAAATTAATATTTAAAAAAGTATATTTAAACCCCTCTTTATTTATTTAATTTTTTTATATTGATTGCACAATCGGAAGCAACCTTCTTTCATCCCTTATCTCACTCTACTCGCATGCAGGGATAGAGCCAATGTAGGAAGGGGGGGTAGCTGCCTCCCTAAGGTTTTAAAAATTTCCAAATATGGTACATTAATTTTTATTTTCTACAAAATTTTGTTTTTTGAGGTTTTAGATTATTGGGACCATTTCAAATATATATAAAAAAAAAATTAGGATTTGTGTAAAGGAATTATTTCTCTCCTTATGATTAATTTTTAAGATATGATAATTTAGTCTAGGTAACAAAAAATATTAATCAAAATCTAATTAATTACATTAATATAACTTATATTAGTTTTTACATTAGTTATGTATAACTTTTTTGTACAATTTATATACTACGAAAA